CATATTTTGGGGACAAATTTGTACCCAAAAGTGAGCAAAACCTGACAAAATCTTCAAAAACCTCCCTTTGGGACGTACTCATTTGGAAAAACTGGTATTAAAAAAGTATTCTTTTTTTTATTGTAAAAATGCAGAAAGTTTCCTGTGAGGGGTAGGTTTAGGTGTAGGGTTGGTGTAGAGTGATAGAATATACAGTTTGTACAGTTCTAGTTCCATTACGCCTATGGAATGTCCCCATTTAGATAGCTAAGTAAACGTGTGTGTCTGTGAGTATGAGTATGAGTATGAGTGTGTGTGTGTGTGTGTGTGTGTGTGTGTGTAAATCATTCGTAAAGCCATTGGATTTACGTAAATTTTCGGATTAATGAAAATTTTCATATTTTCAAAATGTTAGATGGTACACAAAAAATTTACGCCTGCTCCCAACCATGTGTAAATGATGTGTAAATCATCCAAATGTTTCGTTTTCCTTTAGACTCTGCATTTTGATAGCTCTATATGTAGTATAATCATATTTTACGAGTTTGTTTTCCAAAATAGCTAGGTAAACTTTAAGATATTGAGGTTAAACATATTTGGCTTGCTGTCCGCAGTGGAGGGGCTCATTAACATACACGCGTTTAACTATCAAATCTGAGGTTTGTGAATCCGAAGGAGAGTTTTTGGGAAGGTCCATTTTACACGCCTGTTATTCCTAATTTATTCATATATTTATGAAATTTTAAGAATAATTAAGTGATGTTAATCAAGAGTTTTATATGAGTTTTTTTTTAAGTTGTAGAATGCTGACATTGTCATGTTTTCATGTGACCTGCAGCACTCTGATAAAGTAGGAAGTCGCTCAAAGGAGTAGTGAAACTTCAACAAAGTTTGGACTAAAACAAGCCTTTGCATTGTGTGCAACATTTCTGGTAGTGTGCCTTAATTGTGTCGTGCAAATTTTGGCAGGTATAGAAGGTCATCTGAGTACATTTGCATAGAGAAAATCTGCAATAATACAGTGTACACAGTAACATGGCCTCGTGAGGAAGAAGTGTGAGAAAGAAGTATACTTTAGCATACTTTAGTATTACATACAGTATATTAACTTTAAATGTAATATTGAATACCACACTACACTACAGTTAAAATATAATAAAGTACTTGTGCTTTTGTATGTTAGTCAACACATCAAAATAAGTCTCTTCATTAAAGCATGGCAAAAATTATTAAACCTAATGATTTAAAATGCACTTTAAAGTATAAGTTTTGATTTGACATTATTACAAAGTGCACTTAGTGCACTCATTTTTAAAAGTGTACTTAGGAATGTTAAGAAACTAATGAAAGTGTACTCATTAATTACACTGAGGCCTTTATTTCATTAATATTATATTATCTGCAACTTTTTTTAAAGTACACTACAAATGCACATTAAATGCAATTAAGCACACTTCTTTTTCACAAGGATGGCCATCACCATGAAATTTCAAGATTATTCAAGAAGTAATTAAAATCTTAAAAGGTCATGTTTAAAAGTTAAGGAAAGTTAAGGGGATTTCTATAGTCAATATAATTAATAAAAAAGAACATTTAAAAAAAGTTTTCTTTGTATCTCTATAAAAATATTGGTAACACTTAAATATATACTTAAAATGCATTTTAATTTGAACTAACGTTACAATTATTTATGAAAATATACAATGCATTATAACATACAGGTGCATCTCAATAAATTAGAATGTTGTGGAAAAGTTCATTTATTTCAGTAATTCAACTCAAATTGTGAAACTTGTAGTACCTTTATAATGCATTATACATTAAGGCTTTAAGTGCCAAAGTATTTTTAAAAATCTTAGAAAATCACAGGAATAGGAATGCTGTAGTTTCCATTTGACGTAAATGCACTGTAAGTGTGAATGTACATTTCCACCTCTAATTCAAATGACTATCTACAAACTTTCAATTGACTTTGTTCTTTCCGCAGCTGTTTTCACATATTTCCCCCGTGGCAGCCACTATCAGTGCGGAGTCCTTCTATGAGGCTCATATGGAGGAGAGCAAAAGCTCGGAGGTCAGCTGTCAGATTTCATCAACCTGCAGTAACGGGGATCTGGGCCAGGCCAGCCTACAGAAGCTCATGCTGGGGTTCGGGGGCGTCTTTGACCTGGATATGAACATTCCCAGTGGTAACCTCGTCAGCCAATCAGGGATGCAGTTGAACATGCAAGCAAAGAAGAATTCCTCCAAATCCTGCAGCGTTCGTGAGGGACGCAAACTGAACATGGCCATCACCATGGACGACTTTGGCTGGTCTGACGACGACAGCGATTAGTGGAGAGCAGCACGGTACGATAGGGCGGGGTTAGACGGTGTCAGAGCCGGTCCAAGCAAGGTCAAATGTCGAGAGTCAGAGCTAGCAAAATCAGGAATTTATAGTTTAAACTGTAACGATTGATCTGAATATTTTAAAAGATTGTTGCACCCATGTGTGGTATGTTTCAGTGCAAAAAAACATGCATTACTTGATCCAGAGCAGAATATTACGCTACCCTGTTAGCAGTAGGGCTGCTGTTCTGAATATACCGGCTAACCAGTATAAATAACCTTTGATAAATAGCAAGGCAAGCAATACAGGGTACTGCATAAATGCCCATAAATGGCAGGATTTACCATTGGTAGAAGGGATTTACCTCTGCCTTCTCTGAGTGAGACACCAGATCATACTAAGATTTCCCCTGTGAGACACATTTACAGTATTTATAAAGTGTGATGTGAGATTTAATGGGATTTCTGAAGCTGTGTTTTTGTAAAGCCCTGAAGTTTTTATAAAATAAAGGAAATACTGAACAACTTGTGTGAAATGGGTCAAACTGCAAGGGAACATTTCCAATATTTGTTTTAAAAAATATATGTTGAACAAAATATAATTCACTCACTAGAGTGCTTTCAAAGCTTCCATCATTGAATTATGTCTTTAGTTTTATCCTAAAACCACTTAATTCATTAGGTTTGCTAAGGCAAGACTATTACTATTGCTCAAACTTAGGTTTATGGATTTGAACAAACCTCTAACCCCAAGTATTAATTTTCAGCACTAAAGTTGTTCTGCATCGCTTATACTTTACTTTTTTAGAGGTTAAGTCTATTTTTTTTAAACAACTTCAAGTAGATTTTTAAAGTTTTTTTATTTTATTTGTAATATTAATTGTATTATTAATATATTCATTTGAATATTTTAAGTCATCCTGCACACCCGAGGGCTCATATGCGTTAAAAAGTTACAGGCTTACAAAAAGGGATACTTGTCTGCTAGTTCTAAAAGTTAGAATTCTTATATATTGTATAAGCATTGCTTGGTCTGGTAGCACACAGTTGTATGTTGTGTATCCATGAGTGATGTTTAGCTCTGTGTGTGTGTGTGTGACCACTGTGATTCACTGGAGGTTGAGATGTTTGGGTGTGTTTGCTCCCAGTAGAGATCCGGCTCTCCTGTTTCACACGCAAGACAAACACATAACCCTATTCATTGTGAGTGCATGTTTAACCTGTAAACTATATCCAAAGCAGGAGACTGGATAAGATTAGCCTGTCGAAAACATTGTGTGGTTTGGTTCCATGGCTTGTAATATAGAGCAGCAGGAGTCAAATGCTTGTACTAGTTTTCTCATGATCTTGATGACTTCAAGGATTTGGTTTAAATGCTTCAAAATAGTTTTGCAGACAAACATAATTGTGGGAGGCTTTTAAAATACCATTGGAAAGGTTTGCCAGAGCCACCACAAAAAAAAAAATTGGTTGTGTGTGCAGAGATGTAATCTAAAAAGAGACGTGACTTTAAAGTGTTTCAAATATGAGTTTTAATTGAAAATTAATATAGCTGTATTATAAGCTTTTTCTGTCTAGTTTCCAATGAGGTTGTTTAAACCCTTCACAGTACTGTGCAAGTGTGTAGATACATGTCAATTTATCCACATTTTAAAAGCACAAACTCTGGGGAGTGCTTAAAATACTGACGCTCTTATTTTTGCATACCTGTGAAAACACTTTTTCTTACACTAGTGAACATAACATGGCTGCTAACATAGTCACAATAATACACGTCAGCTACTTTAAGCTGTGGAATTTTGGCAAGACTGTCCCGCCTAGTCTAGCCTGATTACCAGTTTTGCTTCCTTGTCACAGTCATACAAATATATTGTAAATCTTAAAGAAAAGAAAGAAAAAAAAAGACAATGGCAGCAGATTTTTGCATTTTTATTTCAACATTTATTTGAACATTTTTATTTCATGGAATGTGTTTATAACAGAACATTTACCATATTTTAGGTCAGGCATGAGTTGCCTTGCTTGGTTGTGCAAGGATCAGCAAGCCCCTCAACTTAATACTCCTCTCCTTCTTCATCCTCTTCTCCGACGCTGTCTGTTCCCACCTCTTCATAATCCTTCTCCAGGGCAGCCATGTCTTCTCTGGCCTCTGAGAACTCACCCTCCTCCATACCTTCCCCCACATACCAATGAACAAAAGCTCTCTTGGCGTACATCAAGTCGAACTTGTGATCCAGACGAGCCCAGGCTTCAGCGATTGGTATGTTTCAGTGCAAAAAAACATGCATTACTTGATCCAGAGCAGAATATTACGCTACCCTGTTAGCAGTAGGGCTGCTGTTCTGAATATACCGGCTAACCAGTATAAATAACCTTTGATAAATAGCAAGGCAAGCAATACAGGGTACTGCATAAATGCCCATAAATGGCAGGATTTACCATTGGTAGAAGGGATTTACCTCTGCCTTCTCTGAGTGAGACACCAGATCATACTAAGATTTCCCCTGTGAGACACATTTACAGTATTTATAAAGTGTGATGTGAGATTTAATGGGATTTCTGAAGCTGTGTTTTTGTAAAGCCCCATTAAGATGGGATATATAATAACATTATAGTAATTATAACTAAATTAACTAATATTTGATTGCCTAGTGACTAGCATTTTTTAAAGGCGAACTTGTATGTTCTGTGATCTTCCTAACTAATATCTACAGTGTATAGGTAAGATGGTGGCAGTATGTGCGTCTTACCAGTTTGCGAGTCCTGTCCAGCACCAGGTCAATGATCTCCTTGCCAATGGTGTAGTGCCCACGGGCGTAGTTGTTGGCAGCATCTTCCTTACCAGTGATCAACTGCTCAGGGTGGAACAGCTGGCGGTAGGTACCTGTGCGCACCTCATCTGAAAAAAAGGATGAACTTCTTTTAACTACAAGCTAAAACACCTAAAGTTGCTTTAAAGTTCAATTTAACAGCTGGGGACAAAACCAAAATGCATAAATTATTACCAATGACAGTGGGCTCCAGATCGACAAAGACTGCTCTTGGAACCCGAGGGCTCATATGCGTTAAAACGTTACAGGCTTACAAAAAGGGATACTTGTCTGCTAGTTCTAAAAGTTAGAATTCTTATATATTGTATAAGCATTGCTTGGTCTGGTAGCACACAGTTGTATGTTGTGTATCCATGAGTGATGTTTAGCTCTGTGTGTGTGTGTGTGACCACTGTGATTCACTGGAGGTTGAGATGTTTGGGTGTGTTTGCTCCCAGTAGAGATCCGGCTCTCCTGTTTCACACGCAAGACAAACACATAACCCTATTCATTGTGAGTGCATGTTTAACCTGTAAACTATATCCAAAGCAGGAGACTGGATAAGATTAGCCTGTCGAAAACATTGTGTGGTTTGGTTCCATGGCTTGTAATATAGAGCAGCAGGAGTCAAATGCTTGTACTAGTTTTCTCATGATCTTGATGACTTCAAGGATTTGGTTTAAATGCTTCAAAATAGTTTTGCAGACAAATATAATTGTGGGAGGCTTTTAAAATACCATTGGAAAGGTTTGCCAGAGCCACCACAAAAAAAAAAATTGGTTGTGTGTGTGCAGAGATGTAATCTAAAAAGAGACGTGACTTTAAAGTGCTTCAAATATGAGTTTTAATAAGCTAAGACACTTTACAGTCTTCTTCACTGTAGAATTGAATTATACAAAGAGAATCAGTTTCATTACCAATGACAGTGGGCTCCAGATCGACAAAGACTGCTCTTGGAACATGTTTTCCAGCTCCAGTCTCACTGAAGAAGGTGTTGAAGGAGTCATCTCCACCTCCAATGGTTTTGTCACTGGGCATCTGACCATCTGGCTGGATCCCATGCTCCAGGCAATACAGCTCCCAGCATGCATTGCCCATCTGGGCTCCGGCTTGGCCGACGTGCATGGAAATACATTCACGCTATAGCAAGAAAGGGGAAGAAAAAGAAAAAAGAAAAAAAATATATATATATATATATATGGTTAGCATCAAAAACTTGGAAAATGATTGGAAGAAAAATTATTTGTGCTCATGTAAAGGAAACATGTCATTAAATCTATCAAATACATAGACATCATTAAAGAAAGAATAAAGTTACTGCACAAATTTCTGTTCATCCCGGAAAACGACGTTAACAGCAGGAATTTATACAAACATATTTCATCCATACAGGAAACGGAGCAGAGCGGTAGGGCAAGATGTTTAAGCTGTTGAATGGTGCCTTTGAATGCCAGTGACGTGACCGTATACATTGTTTCACTGTTCTTGTACTAGTTTTCTCATGATCTTGATGACTTCAAGGATTTGGTTTAAATGCTTCAAAATAGTTTTGCAGACAAATATAATTGTGGGAGGCTTTTAAAATACCATTGGAAAGGTTTGCCAGAGCCACCACAAAAAAAAAAATTGGTTGTGTGTGTGCAGAGATGTAATCTAAAAAGAGACGTGACTTTAAAGTGCTTCAAATATGAGTTTTAATAGAAAATTAATATAGCTGTATTATAAGCTTTTTCTGTCTAGTTGCCAATGAGGTTGTTTAAACCCTTCACAGTACTGTGCAAGTGTGTAGATACATGTCAATTTACCCACATTTTAAAAGCACAAACTCTGGGGAGTACTTAAATTACTGACGCTCTTATTTTTGCATACCTGTGAAAACACTTTTTCTCTTACACTAGTGAACATAACATGGCTGCTAACATATAGTCACAATAATACGTCAGCTACTTTAAGCTGTGGAATTTTGGCAAGACTGTCCCAGCAGGAATTTATACAAACATATTTCATCCATACAGGAAACGGAGCAGAGCGGTAGGGCAAGATGTTTAAGCTGTTGAATGGTGCCTTTGAATGCCAGTGACGTGACCGTATACATTGTTTCACTGTATCATTACAAATTCCTAACATTACAGAACAAGTTAAGTGATAGATAGGAACGTTTCTTCAAATCAAAATATGTCATATGTCAGAAACATGCTCAGTGCCCAGTAACAGGGAGCACTGCCTAAGATGACCTGTTTCTGAAGATCAATTTGTCTGTATGTGGATCAATACCCATTACCAGCTCCCAACCAGCCACACTGCAGCTGTTCCAGTCGTTTTTATCTGCATGAATGCATGCAGGCTTAAATGCTGACTAGGCCCAAAGTTTAGGGAGAGTGTAAAACATCCATTTTGCTCCCTTATTCTCATTCTTAAAATGTGAAGTACTCATTTTGATATATGAAGTATAGAACTTGAGCATTTATTGAGTCAGACTGTGACTTATGACCAGGGCTGCACGCAAGTTTTTCAGTCTGGTTCTCATGAGAGCACCTGGAGATTTGGTTTGGTACTCACACTGCACATAGCGTGACTCATAAAATAGAACTATAAAAATAAAATGAATAGTGATAATAGTATAATTGCATTTATTTATTTTGTATTTTAATAAATTGAACAAAATAATCAGTGTGAGAATACTTTTTTTTTTTTTTTTAATTAATTGAGTATAAAATAAAGTTATTTTATAGTACACTTAAAAGTACAATGCTAACATTAACTTTTTTTTAATGAATTTACCTCATTTTCAAACCTAAAATCAGCCAGCTTTTATTTTGGCGGGATGCCGGCATGTAAGTATATAAGCTGACGGGTTTAGCGCTGTCGCGCGTCAGTGAATGAAATGGCAGTTTTGCATTTTGCTTTCAACCGGCAGCGCATAGCCTAGATTGATGCTTTCAGTTTGAGTGGAAATCTTATACAGCATTACAGTCGATCTAAAACAGTGATTGTGCATTAACAGCTGTCAGCAATGTCGGTACGCAAATGAGCTGTCTGGTCTGAACTCATCGCATTTTTTATTTTGGTCGCGCATGCGCACCAATTCTGCACACCCCTGCTTGTATCTGTAGTTTAGGGGAAGAGACCCAAAGGGCAGGGCTGGTCCCTTCCCCCACCCAACGGTACCACCCAGTTTTCGGTATTATTCAGTGACAAGAAAAGGCGCGATAACTGGAGATTTTTATGCTAGTCTTTGAAATTCTGACGCGTCTGCTCCTCCGCCCTGTCGCGCATCTAACAAAAACCTAAGCTATAGATTTAAAACTTTAATGTCTAACCATGTCTGAATAACTAATAAGTATCTTAGGAGGACGTTTATCAATTTTCTACATGAATCGGCTTGGCTTTTGCGGTTTTCTTTGTTCGGCGTGTCGTTAGAAAGTGCGCCACATCCCAAAGCTCCTGCGCGTGCGCCCGCCCAAAATGCCTTAAATGCTTTTAAACATCACACGCTAAGATTTAACGAACGAACATAGCTTCTGTCTTATATTGTAAGACAGGATGGTACTTTAAATTTAATACAAAACTCAAAAGTAATTTCGTACTAAACACGAACATCTCAGGCTGTAAAAGACCGTTTTACACACAGAAAACAATCGTATCGTGCTATTTACTGAAATTAGACGTGAATATAAGACTCACCATTTTGTCAGATTTTCCTTCAGACCGACGTTAGGGGTTCGGAGAATGAAGGCGGAATTGCGGCGGAAGGGACCAGGCTAAGGTTATATAGCGGCGCGCGACCGGATGCAGGAGAGGCGGGGCTCTGGCTTCAGTTAGTAAGAAAAGGAGGGAACATTGGGGCGGGGCTTCATGTGTGAACGCCGCATTCAGTCAGAAAAGGATTGAGAATGGAAAGTGCCCAGTAAATCGAGGGAGGAGGTTCTTAATTTAAATTGTAAAAAAAAACGCAATTTATACCCTACCGCATATATTGGACACTGGGTGAAGTCGTTTTTATGATATATATTTGAATAATATCCACCATAAACCCTTATCACCACACCGGACAAAGACACATGTTAGGTTTCAGTCAGACTTACAAAGGTTTTAAAAAAAGTTAGACATTTCCACCAATGTGGAAAGTGCCCAGTAAATCGAGGGAGGAGGTTCTTAATTTAAATTGTTAAAAAAAAAACGCAATTTATACCCTACCGCAAATATTGGACACTGGGTGAAGTCGTTTTTATGATATATATTTGAATAATATCCACCATAAACCCTTATCACCACACCGGACAAAGACACATGTTAGGTTTCAGTCAGACTTACAAAGGTTTTAAAAAAAGTTAGACATTTCCACCAATGTTTAAGTCTTCATTTTATGTTATAATTTGAATAAATTTGTGAACAGTTGACTTCAAGAAAGAGTTCAGTGAAAAATGCTAATTGCCGTTATTCAACTCTCATATTGTCCCAAACCATTATTTCATCTGTGGAACACTAAAAGTAGATTTTTTTTAACTATATTTGGCAAAGTCCTTTTCAACATAATGCACATTTATAAAGTAAAGTGAATGTGTACTGTCAAACTTAAAAAAGGACTAAATATCATAAGTATCATAAATGGGGTTTTCAAACTCAGGGGACCGCAAGGGAGTGCTAAGGAGTCGGTCGATAAGTTTAGAGAAAAACAGTGTTAAAAATGTAATATTAAATAATACGATTAAAAGTGAGTAGGAAAGAACATAATAGAAACTAGATATTTTAGAAATAATATTTTATTATTTTTAGTGTAATTTCTTTCACAGTATAAATGGGGTCTTTACCAGTGTTGGGGAAAGTTACTTTTAAAAGTAATGCATTACAATATTGCGTTATACACATAAAATATACAGCAGCATTTTAAATTTTAGCATGGGGTCCCTCACACGAGAATCATTGAAACCTGAAAACCCCTGGTTTATATGACTTGTGCAATACATTTTTTTCTCTTAGCTTAGCTTTTTTTGTTATAACACATTGTAAGCAAGCACAAAGATTATTTTTAAAAACATTTCATGTTTCATCAACTTTCTCAAAACCTATTGCATTCACATAATAATTTTCATAATAAAATGTTGCTTTCAAAAAATAATAGGCTTTCATTTTGAATGACACCTAAAGGACAGATCATTTCTGAAACTTGATTTCTTCCAAGTTACTTAAAGGGCATTTGCTATAGAAGACCAGAACATATTTAATCAGGTCTGAAAACATGTTACAGTAACACAGAGCCACATTTGCACATGGTAGTCTTCACATTAACGCACCCTCACATATATCAGTTATGAACTTTGCACTTTGACAGATATGTCACGTATCCAGATCTGCTCTGCAGGAAGCCTCAGCAGATGTTCTCTAAACTGGAAGACAATATTGTACAATATGTTCACATCAAGCACATTGACTGCAATGATGCTTTCTCACTCGTTCCCGACACGAGATTCTGTGGCTTAGATAAGACTCTGTTTAGAGAAGGGATCAGAGAAGAATGTCTGGAATGCTTGGTAGGCTGGATGGTGTTTTTAAGCGGGGGGCAGTGCATTTGTGTCAGCATATGAGAGGAAAGAAGCTATGAAAGTGTCAAATTAAAATTATTATTATGCTCCCAAATGTGAGAGACCATAAAAAGTAATCTGGTCTTAATGGGAAGTGTCTATATTCCTCCTGCGTCAGACGGGGTGGGGGCAGATTTATTTAAAGGGGTCACAGGATGCCCATTTTCCACAAGTTGATATGATTCTTTAGGGTCTTAATGAAAAGTCTGTAACATAGTTTGGTTAAGATTTCTCAATGGTAGTGTAAAAAACACCTTTTTTACCGTCAAAAACAACTCTTTTCAGATCAAGCCGTTTTGGAGCATTTTACTTTAAATGTTAATGAGCTCTGCTGACCCCGCCCCTCTCTTCCGAGCTGCTCTCTGAGAGACTGTTTACTTTAGCTGCATTCCGATTAAAAAAAAAAACACTGGGTGGATTTTTTTCATTATAGGGTGGTTGTGTACACACACTGCCAACACACTTTTCAGTTCAAACAACTTGTAAAAGTGCATGTAGCATCCTATGACCTCTTTAAAAAAAGTTGAATGAAAGGAGCTGTATGTATAATGAACTGTTAAGTGCTTGCTTTGCATCCAAATAGATTATCTTCAATGTAAATTAGAGCATTGTTTGTGGAATTTACCGTTGTGGAACTATTTGCAATCTCACCTCACATTGAAAAAACCTTCTTAAAAAGGATTGTTACAAATATTTCAAATATGTACAAATAAACTTCCATATTAGACAGAAAGTCTAAGTCCCTTTTTACCAATTAATTTCCTACTTTCTTATACACTCTAAAAATTATATGATCAGGAAGTCATTATGTTTTTACATTAACTTATCAAAATAAGTTGAGCAATTTCTTGATTTTTTAAGTCGGTTTAATGTAATTTACGTTAAAATCACTTGTACAGCAAGTTGGCTATACTTAAAAATTTAAGGTAGCAAATGAAGTGGTTTTTATGTTGAAATAGGTGGATTTTTTTTACAGCTTAAAGTGTTTCTGCTTAAGATTTATTTTAGTTTTGGAAAGACATTTGAGTGTTGTCTAAAAATTATCTTAAAGTGACATTTATCTCAACAACTGATGCGTTTCAAATTTCACTAGAATTTGGTATAACATGATTTTAAACTTCAAGTCTGTGCAAGGGCATCTCAAGCATGCTGAAACAGACTCGACTGACGATATAAAGGCATGCAAATTGTGATAGAATATAAAACTTTTGTTGATTGCTTCCATGGCACCCTTTCAGTGTGTTCTCCATTTGCATTCTCTTAATCGAATCACAAAGACATTACACAAGCAGTCTTCAGGTGGCACAGTACCGGCCAAATGTTTTATTCTTACCCCAGAGCACTTAAACCAAGAAAACAAAAGCTGTCAGCACTGTGGTTAGCATTGTAACATTTAAACCTTTTTGTCACTATAGTAACTGATGCTAGCTAACTGGTTATCTTATTTGCTGATGAACTGAGTTTTATGACAACCAACTCAGTGAAATAGACAAACAACTAAAAAGTCTATATTAAGTCTTTAAAAGATATCACCTTAACCTTTATGGTCTGTCACATGCACTTGGAGGTTGGCCTGCATGAGTCATGTGGATGATTTGTTCATATTCATACACTGAACACAGACAACAACAAAAAACAGACTGACACCATCAATAACCAATATCAGGAAAACATTAAGTTAAAAAAATTAGTTAAAAATATTAAAAAAGCACAAACTACATATCAAATACAGGTTTCAAATGAGCATAGGGAACATAAAACAATATTTTGTTACAGTGAAAATACTGTTTGTGAAATCTATCTGTGATGTTTCAAGATTATGTAGGGATTCCTTTAATACTCTTCTCCTTCTTCCTCTCCTTCTTCTCCGACGCTGTCTGTTCCCACCTCTTCATAATCCTTCTCCAGGGCAGCCATGTCTTCTCTGGCCTCTGAGAACTCACCCTCCTCCATACCTTCACCCACATACCAATGAACAAAAGCTCTCTTGGCGTACATCAGATCGAATTTGTGATCCAGACGAGCCCAGGCTTCAGCAATAGCTGTGGTGTTGCTCAGCATACATACAGCTCGCTGCACCTTAGCCAGGTCTCCTCCAGGAACCACGGTCGGTGGCTGGTAGTTGATGCCAACCTTGAATACAGTCGGAGTGCTCGAGAGTGGTGTGGGTGGTAAGAATGGAGTTGTAGGGCTCCACCACTGCAGTGGACACTTGAGGAGCTGGATAAATGGCAAATTCAAGTTTAGACTTCTTCCCGTAGTCAACAGAGAGCCGTTCCATTAGGAGGGAGGTGAACCCAGAGCCGGTGCCACCACCAAAACTGTGGAAGATCAGGAAGCCCTGGAGCCCAGTGCACTGATCAGCCTGCAGGATTACATGAGTTATTTCTACAATCACTGGCCAGGATTTGTCTGTTGTTCTACTGTTGACCCTAATGCAACACTAAAGATAAAGCCAACTTTTGACCCCAAGATTGTCTTACCAGTTTGCGAGTCCTGTCCAGCACCAGGTCAATGATCTCCTTGCCAATGGTGTAGTGTCCACGAGCGTAATTGTTGGCAGCATCTTCTTTACCTGTGATCAGTTGCTCAGGATGGAACAGCTGGCGGTAGGTACCTGTACGCACCTCGTCTGGAAAATCAGTCCATGTACTTTATTTTATTAATTATATTATTGTATTTTAGATAAGATAAGTATGTCATTTGCATCATATATTTTCACGAGATTAATCTTGATACGATGCACAACAAGTACAATTTAGTAATTCGAGAAAAAAGCTAAGACACTTTACAGTCTTCTTCACTGTAGAATTGAATTATACAAAGAGAATCAGTTTCATTACCAATGACAGTGGGCTCCAGATCGACAAAGACTGCTCTTGGAACATGTTTTCCAGCTCCAGTCTCACTGAAGAAGGTGTTAAAGGAGTCGTCGCCCCCACCAATCGTTTTATCACTTGGCATCTGACCATCTGGCTGGATCCCATGCTCCAGGCAATACAACTCCCAGCATGCATTGCCCATCTGCACACCTGCCTGGCCGACATGGACTGAGATGCACTCACGCTAAGGTGCAATGAGAGACATGTTTAAAATGGTAGCAGTCAATTTAAATCTCTCTTGGGAAAAAGTAGCTTTCTCTTTTAATTTTCATAAACACTAAAACTGACAACCATTATCAAGACAATCAAAAT